AAAGATTAGAACCGAAACTGTATCTTTGGTGATTTAACTAACCTTATTTTGTATAAATTATTTGAGATTAGAGTTACAAGTTGAGGAAAACCTCCTGAGAGAGTTCCTCTTGCTGTCAGAAAGAAGTGCATGTAACTCAATTTACACAAACACGTGTCCACTGTCAGGCTCTAGAATGAAAAGAACATCACTCCCTGTGGTAATCCTTTTACTTTCTATTAGTGAGCTGCTTTAGGTACCTTTTACACATCTTAAATACCTTCTAGAATAAGTTGTACCCTTGGGTTTATAGTAATATAGACACTTACTATTCCCCATATGCTCTAATAATTGTGAATATTTTTTTCTATACTGAAGTCAGTTGCTTATTTATAGTGTTTCAGTAATCATGAACTACACCCTTCTCACGGTGGTCTATACTGAGCAATACCATGAAAACGACAATGTCTGCATAATAACAATACTTCTTTAAAGCAGCACTAAATGTAGTAAAATTCCAATCCACTGGTATTTAAACAATCATTTTCCTTTCCTTGTAGCAGGTTTTGAATTGTACTTCAAGCTCATGAAAACACTCATGATGTGCCAAGGTTCACTGTCTCCATATAAACCCTCAGTGTGACTTATATTGCTTATTCTGAGTTTCTATCTTTTGCTTCAATAGTCTCATACTGTACAGTATGCTAATTTCTCTTTAAGAAAAAAAGTATTTCCTAAATGCCTCTCTATTTTACTTTACCTTTATTTTCTGAATACTGTGTTGGTCTTGTAGCATCCTCACCAGCCTAAACACTGACGTCACTCACTCTTATATTCATGTAATCATTATTTCATGAAGACATTTTATTGAATACAGACTCTGAAACACATACCATATGTGGCACTGTAGAGGTTATAAGCATATATAAACCATGGTACTTGCACTCACTATCTTGTATTTTAGAGATGGGTATGAGAGCAAAGAGAAACAAACAAAAGGTCTGGATTCCTTTCTTTTCCCAAATCTCAATATCCAGTTCCCTGTAGCTTCATTTATATTCAGTGACCCCAAGTTTTGAGCCAAATCATAACTCATGCTTTAGTTCCCCAAAGATACTATACTCTGTACATAAGTGTCCTTCAACAGTTTACATTATTTCACTGTCCCTGAATCATATCCCAAATCCTCTTACACAAAATTAAAAAAAAAAAAAATTAACAGTCATTATTAACAGAGACCATACTACACTCTTCAAATAATCTTGTGAAGACATAGTGTTTCATGGACTTTAACCCTTCAAACAAGGTGATAACAATATTTTTGTAGTTAAAAAGTAAAAAAAGGTCCACAAAGACCTAATCTATCAAAATAGATTCTTTTGTTTCCAGACAAATACACTAATAAAAAAGAAGGAAAGAGGTGTGGAAGGAGAGAGGGAAGGAAGGAAAAGAGAAGAAAGCAGAGAGGAGGCAGCCAAGAGGAGGAAAGGATGAAACACAAGAAAAAAAAAAAGAAAAAGGGAGAGGGAGGAGAGGAAAGAAAGATACACACACACACACACACACACACACACACACACACACACACGCACACCAACCAACCAACAAAAACATTAAGCCCACCTTTCTAAACTGGTGGAGATAAAGACTCTCCAAGCAAGCATCTGCTTTACGTGTGTTTTTTGTACAGCATTCTACAAATGACAGCAAGTCAAATGTTCATTTAGTGAATTGCTACAATGCTTCATAAACTAGAGGAGAATGGGTATTAATGCTTTCTTCAAGTGCTGCTTATAAAAACTAAAAACAAGGTAGAAAACTGTTCCAAAAGAAAATCTGTTGGGTACAAATGCTGAATATCTGCTTCCACTGATATTAAAGGCCTTCATTCTAAACGCAGGCAAAACTTTAGACCATAACCTGAGAAACCAGATTCAACCCTTGATTATTACATACACACCAGAAGTGATATTTAAACCAAAGCATCATAATAATGAATTTTTAATATTTCAATCAAGGATATTATGATGACATAACTACATTACATTTAATTTGTTCCTTAAATTCATAGCAGTGGGGGTGTACGATGACGTGATAAAAATAATATATCTTCAGCTTGTTTATGAAGAAAGAGCTCCTATTGCTTTCAAATTAGTTCCGTTAATGAGAAACCAATATCTACTTCTACATATTCATGGAAGACCATATGTGTTTCTCTAAAGTCAACACTTTACACAAGCAAAGCGGCATAAAAAATTAACATTACTCTGCATATTACAACCATATTTAATATGATCTTGGTTATTAAAATATCTAGTACTGGTGTTCTAGTGCTCATAGTCAATTAAAAATTATATTCTAGCAAAACACACATGGAAAGAATTGGGTTCTAAATCATGTTTAGTGAATTTCCAAAAAGATTTATAAAACTAAAAATAAAACAAAGAGTTAAATGATGAGAAGGAAGAAGAAGGATAAGTAGCTCTCTCAGTTAATATGCGACATCGAACATCAAAAATTGATTTTTATTCCCTGGCCTTGTGCCTCTGGTTTTATAGGTTGGGCTGGGCCTGAAGACTGAGCCATTCATCTTTTAAGGAGGAGATGCCAAGTGCACTCCTCTTCTACTTGATCTATGGAAATCAGTAACAATGCCCTTCAAGAAGCTACATATCTGCTTCTCTCAACAAAGGTGCCATGGTAACAGGCATCAGGTGAAATGAATGCTGGCTTTGAGAGTATACGGGCAAAGTAATGTTTTATATTCCTAAATTGCACAGTAAATATTCAAAAATCAAACAAACAAACTTGCATCCATCTGGGTCTCAACAAAGATACTGAGAGAAGCTGTCTTAATTCACATTATACAGAAAAGTAAACAAATCAAATCTCAGTATCTGCCTTATTTATCATTTTTATATTAGGATACAGAAAACATATTTGGCTTGGGAGGTATTAAGTAGCTATTTGACAACTATATTTGTAAATAGTGGAGAACAATGTCTCAGAACTTCTGCCAAACTGAGAACAGCATTTTATTACCACCCTCCTAAAATAATTATATCATTAAAATAAAAATTGATTCTGAGACAGGTCATTGAGTTTTCTCAGGTCTCTGGAGCAGAAGGAGAAATGAATTTTCCAACTGTCCCACATTTCTAGCTCTGCTCCCATGCTACTCTAACAAAGGTAAATCCCAATTTAATAAAAGTTTTTCCCCAAAATTAGAGGTTATATAGAATGAAGCCATCAACATCATGTGATGGTGGGAAAAAAGTCACATTTGCCCTTGAATATATAAATCTTAAATCTGACATACACAAAAAGAACTGAAAAAAATTTATATTATCAAGTATAATAGCCAGAAAAAATTAAGTTTTTAAGATTCAATTAATATCTCTCATTTAAATAGTTTCATTTTGCTATAATAGGTATACAGTTAAGTGTTTCTCTTCTATATGGCCAGAATCTCAGATCCTTGTTAAGTGCTTTTAACGCAAACTGCCATTGTAGAAGCTATCAATTTTGTAGACATTAGCAGCTTCAAACAAGATTTGCTCTCCCTTCTACCTATTGTAACTCCCATAGGTATGCTCAACCTTCTGTGCAAGTAGCAGACAAATAATCAAAACATCTGGTATTTGCTAGTAATCCACCCAAATTACAAAAACTACTGCATCATAATCCTGCTCTAGGATTTCTCCCATTAAAAAGAAAAAAAAATCCATCAAGGGAAACATATGATATAATGTGTCAACATAGAAACACTATTTTTTCACATTGTCTACAACCACATCAATGACAGAAACAACAGCTGTATAATAGCCAAAAAGTTCTAGAGCCAACAGGCTCAGTAAAGTTCCTTTAAGCCTCAACCCTGCACCACCTCTTCGCCCATGCAGAAATACCCCTCAATTCTTCCCTAGATTTTCTCTCAAGGGAAGGGGGGCTCATGAGAGCAGATGTTCTCCACTTCCTTCACATTTGGCCTTCTCATTAGATAATCAATTTGAGTTTGAAGCCTCTGTACCTAAGGAACTGAAAATGTTTGCTGTAGCCCCATCTGGGCCCTTTCATTCCCTCTCCTTTCTGAATTCCAAAGACATTTTGGCTAATGTAATTCTTGATAATCCCAACACCTTGCAGCCTCCTGCACATTATCTCTTTTTCCCACTGTCTCTCTAGAACTAATATACAACACATTCTAGTTCTAGCACCTAAACACAATACATTACTTTCTCCATTATACTCAAAAGCCAAAATACTAAAAAATTCTGTAACCCCACATAAAATGTGAGTGTGGCAGGGTTTGTATTATCGGTGAGTTAGTAGACAAAATGAAACTTCAAATTGGTAGTAGTATTTATTCAATTGCCTCATACATTAATTTCAATAATTCCAAGTATCAACTGTCAACTGAAAACCAAGATGCCTTATAACATGTAAAGTTTTCCCTGTTTCCACATTATTCCCTTTAGCAGCCCCTTTCATATTACCATTCTACTTTACTTCTATGTTTCCTATTAACATATTAGGATGTTTCCCCAAAACATTTTCGTAACTAACTCTGGAGCTTTCTTTAAGTACCTGCAAAATAATCCAGCAAAACAGCTTAAGTACACCCTTAAAAAGAATCTGCTCTAAGCACAGCTGATATTGAAATGGTAACAGTAAAGTTAACATGAAACTAAGTCACAATAATTCCACGCACAAGTTAAAATGACACTCTTCATAAAAGAATGTTGAAAATCATACTATAAAATGAAGTAAAAATACAAGCTTTTGGTATAGTATCCATTCAAATTCATAGTAATTAATGATATAAGCCCCATTTTTTTTCAATCTAGTCCCACCTTTCTAATTCCCTGTAAGCTCCATTCATTTCAAGATATGTCGGCAATATTTCTACAACATGGACCTCCCCGCTTAATTTTCATTCTCTCCACAAATGGCACATATGTGAACGTAGCACCATCACCTTAAGCCATAAACATGAGAGTAAAGGAAGATACACTGCTTACCAGAGCCTCTTTTGGTCACCACCTTCAAACTCTGAGTAAAAGTAGCATATAAGAGAATCAAGTGTGGAATCAGAGCTTTCATCTTCCAGCTTTTAAAGTCTGTTCCCTAAATCAAACATACAAAAAGAAAAAACACACATTAAAAAAAACATATATAGCAATATTTTAAGATTTTTGGTCAACTTCTGATCATGCACACAATTAGGGCAGTGAGTATCACCAAAGGAAAGAATGTGAACAGGATCTGTATTATATTTCCCTAGATGCTGTGGTTCCTAAGTAAAATCCAAACCAGTAGTGCCAAAATTCTGTCTCCAAGGGGCCCCCCAAATGCTTTAAAAGTTTATGATCGCTTAAAGGTTTAAAATTTATCTTTTTAGAGGACCCAATTGCACTTAAATTAAGTGAAAACAATCCCTTGAAAAGGACTATTTCACTATTTTTAATATAAATTACCAAATACTAACGTATTTTAAAGTTCCAGGTTACAATGGAATATGATTTTATTCTATATCCTTCTTCCCAATCAAGAAATCATAAATTCTATGCCTCTAAAGATTTAATTATAAGTTTACAATTCTCTTTCAAAAATCTCTAAAAGATACTTCAAGAGAATTTTAAGACTCTTGTCTCTATTGAAAGAAAGTATATGGTCTCTGAAAGCTACAGAAAGATACATGACTTCATCCTATTACAAGGCTCTCAGAGGGGTACTAGAAGGGACATTAGTCTAGAGTTTGGATTTCAAAAGGGGGATATGTTTCATTTGAAATTAACTGAAATGAACACTGTCTTCCTGGGAAAATCATCCCTCTTTCATTTTTGTGTAGGACTGTGATAGTACAGGTTAAAGACTGAACTTCAAAAAGTATCAAGTCAGAACACAGTTCAAATATATTGTCAATCCATGACAGCACAAGTTTATTTGCAAGAGAGTTGAGGACTGATTGTATTCAGCTTTCAATCACTATGACTTTATTAAAAACGAGGAAGCTGAAATGGTGGTTTGGCAGTCACATATTTTGCTCTCATAGCACCTGAGATACTTCTGAATATTTTTTACCTCTGAATATTTTTAAATGATTAATTCATTTGCATTAATAAGTCTGTTCAAACACATTTTAATTCACAGAACAAAATCACTATCTATTCACTTGCAGTAAAGTGATACCATCATCATTGTAGTCAGAAAGTCAGTGAATTTTTAAAATAAGTATTGAGAATAAGCTATTTTAACTCCAGCTCCTTTAAATGATGATAGCCTGTTTCAGTTTTCTAACCAAGGGCTTTGAGTTCACATAAAGACATAAACGAAACCTAGTCCGAAAAGCCAACTCATCAAACATATCTGACGAACCGCCACATTACAGCTCAAGCCTGAGTCATGCATTCCTAAAATCTGAATCCCATTTCCCAGCCACTGCGCTAACTGGAGCTGCAGGAAATCTTCAAGCTGATATCTTCAGCCTTCAGGTTAGCAGTAATAATCAGTTCCTCTCTCAGTGTGAGTTTAATCGGCACTGCCCAAGAAACTCCAGGATCCAACTACACATTGCAAGACCATCAAGCTTAACTGTCTTATTACTTCACTCTCGTTCTAAATACTACTTCCTCGCTTGTTTCATTTCTATAAGCACACAAGCTCGTTTGCAATTTTATTTCTTGAAACTAAATTGGTTTGGAAAGCATCAATTTGGTAACATCAAGATCCTTAATTGAATCTCTTGAAATGCTGTGTATTAGGGGGAAAAGTATGTAGCATATCACAGATTCAACATCTTGGTCAGTCTACAGTAATGTTCATAAACCTCTTTGATATCATTTATTACATCTTATCTTGAAAGACTGATGAAATATATCTAGTCATAGACATCCAAGCTTTGCTGTACTTGTTGCATAATTAATATTCTTAATACTATCATGACTTGGCTTCACATAAACCAGTACTAAATCTTATGCAGAATGAACACATACTATAATGGTTATGAGCCATCAGTCTGTCTAGGTTCTTATCCCAGTTTCACCACCCATTAGCTGTGTGATTTTGAGTACATAACCTGTGACTGGTTTCTTCATTTAAAAAATAGGTATCATTACAGTATATAGCACAGTACCTAGAACCGTACTGGCACATACAACAAACTCAAGAAATGGAAGCTGCTGTTTTTACTGTCTTCACTGTGGTTGACTGTTGTTGCCATTATTGTTACGTTAACACTATCAGAGACTCAACTCACATCCTCTCACCTGTGACACGTTTTGTATTTACCAGCTTTCTTTATGTCCTACCTCAAGCTATTAGCTCATCTCTTTAATTATGTCTTTCTCTTTTCCCAGACTTGAAGTCCCACCAGGGTGAATGTGTGCTTTATTCATCTTTTCATTTCCAATGCTAAGTGTTAGCTGAAAAAGGGACTGAATGAAAGACTGACTGTGGTTGGTATTGTATACAGTTGAATTCTAGTATTCAAACTCATCATTTGGTATACACTTATTAAGCATGTACTAGTTACAAGATGCTGTGCTAAGGTGTAGTGGGGACATAAAGACTATGTGATGCACTCCAATAAAGAAGGATCATAGACCAATAAAGGAGACAAATGCTTACCTACTTAATTAGACCTGCCCTACTGCCATATGGTGAGTATACTGGGCTGAGGGAGTAGAGGGAGAAATCTATTAATTTTGCTTCAGGTTGGCTCTGGGGAAGTCATAGCAAAGAGCTTTCAGAGGAGGAAGTATTTCAGTTAGGTCATAAAGTAAAGATTTTTTTAAGGTAAAGGGACTTCTGGATCTAGAATAAAGTATGACTGAGATTGTCGCTCTGGTGGAGAGAATAATGCCCACCCCGCAAACACGTTCACAACCTGGAACTGGTAATCATTTACCTCACATGTCAAAGGGACTGGGCATGTGTGGTTAAATTAAAGATTTTGAGGTGGGAGATTAGTCAGGTGAACCCAATGTAATAACAAGCATCCTTATAAAAGGGCAGTAGAAGAATGATACTCAAAGAAACTCTAAGGATGGAAGCAAAGGTCAGAGACTGGAGTGATGCACATTAGGGATGGACAAACAGAACATGACCCAAGGGATATTTGTAGCCTCCACAAGCTGGAACAGGCAAGGAAGCAGATTTTCCCCAGATCTTCCACATAAGAGGCAATCATGCCAACACCTTGATTTTACCAAGGAAGTCTAATACATTTTGACTTTCTAACCACCAGAACTGTAAAAATAAAAGCCAGGGTTGTTTTAAGCCACTAAGTTTGTGGTAATTTGTCACAGCAACAACAACAACAAAAACTAATATGGAAAGGATGTGAAATGGCAAATGCTAGGAATGAAGCGTAAACAGACCACGGGCTGTGGTGACTGAAGTTGAAGATGTCAATGTAGGATTGTCAATAACAAGATATGCTAGGTAACCGTCACTTTTCCCCTCCCTCATGCCCCCTACAATGTTTTACACTCATATACTGTGTAACTTCATTATCCAAGGATATTTTATGCAGCTTCACTTTCTTAACATTTATATCATGAAAACACTTATGTATATTGAATATATCATGAAAACACTTATGTATATTGAATATGTTTCCTCAGAATACACATGATGACCCACCCCAAATTCTGACCTATCCCCCTTTCACACAGTCCTAAGATCCTTTGTACTAGGGACAATGAAGAACTAGAGGATGCTTTTAAGTGAAAAACCTTAACTGTTTCATAAAGCATAGGTCGAAGTTGGAAGAAACTACTTAGCAGGCAGTAGTATAGGAAGATAAAGAAGAAGGTCAGACGTAAACAGTAGAGGTGAATGCCGCAAGAATAGAATATATTTGGGAATAAATAGAGTTCAGGGATATTAAAGAAAGTGGCATTGAAAGCAAGCTTTGAAAGTGGGTTTGAGGCATACACCTGGAGCACCTAGGTCTATTATGATCCTATTCACCAATATATAGAACTAGGTAAGACCTTCTGGGCAATGAAGATGGAGAAGTATATGTAATTATATTTAAGGCACACAGATTTTAAACAGCTTATGGAAACTCCCTACTAGAATTTTCTTGTAGTTAACTAAAAATATTAGCCATAAACTCAGTTTAAAGATGGAGGATAACAATATTGTAATTTTAGCTGAAATTAAAGACATAGATTAGGATAAACAGGAAGAAAGCATAGAAAAAGAGAAGATGGCTTACATTTTCACTTTGGAGCCTACAAATATTTGTAGGACAGGAAAATGGAGGAAATCAGTCAAGGAGCCAAGTCAATGATATGAGCAAGGATATTTAAGGATGAAATCAGCAGAGTTTACGTATTATAAGGATAAAAAGAGACAAAACTAGCATTAGATTTAAGATACTGCCAGTCATACTGGCCACTCCTTTAATTAAACAAATAAGAAAATTTAATGAGTAAAAAAAGCTTTATCTGCTTGTTCCTAAACAGGAAGATGTGAAACCCAGAGTTGAGAGTAGAGAAGTTGAGGCTTAACTCTAGGTGAGAACAAGGAAGATAAGAACTTGTATGTAAACTGAAGCAAAGAGAAGAGCTAGAGGAGGCAAGTGAATCGAGAAAGGAAGAGATACTAGTACAGGAAAGTTGAGACACCCTTTAGAGGCAGAAGTAAAGAAAATACACACGGATAAATACAAAGATTGGAAGTAAACTGGAGCAAATTAGCACTGGTTTGTTTTATTCTACTTACATCGTAAAACAGAGAGAACTGGTTTTATAATGAGAATGAAGACGGGGTGCCTGGGTGGCGCAGTCGGTTAAGCGTCCGACTTCAGCCAGGTCACGATCTCGCGGTCCGGGAGTTCGAGCCCCGCGTCAGGCTCTGGGCTGATGGCTCAGAGCCTGGAGCCTGTTTCCGATTCTGTGTCTCCCTCTCTCTCTGCCCCTCCCCCGTTCATGCTCTGTCTCTCTCTGTCCCAAAAATAAATAAAAACGTTGAAAAAAAAATTAAAAAAAAAAGAGTCTCACTCATATGTCAGGCAAGCAAATTCATCTCCTTACACTTGTCGTCTACAAAACATGGACATAAGTGAGAGGTTTATTTCCTTTTGGTTTATTTCATTTTTGACCTATTATTCA